CATGAATTTATCCTGATGTGGTAGGAACAACAAAATCAATCATTGGCACCCAGAGACATTTTTCTTCATCTTGTTGACTTAGCTTATAAATACGATGATACAAGTCTTGATATTTGGGTTTTTACTAAGGTTTCCATTTGTCTTTGCTCTACCTGATCTTTATTCTATCTTTATTTTAGCACTTGGCGCATTTTCAAAGTACCATCAGCTATTTATGACAAATGAACAATCTATATTAAATCTCAATTGTGGTATTATTGCTGATTAAATATAGAACAGTGGAAAAATTAGGTGGCCGATAAAGCAGTTTTTTTTTTGCAACGGTGGCTTGCGTAGATTTTGACCCATTAAATTATTATTATAGTGTAACATTGAAGTTAGTATAGTAAAATATTCTACCTTAAGTATTAAAAAGTAAATAAATGTTGCCAGTTTTATTACACTTTACACTCCCACATTCGGTGCTCCTAAACTATAAAAATTTAACGTTTTTGGCATGCACTCTGTTTTTGTTCGGCTTAGATCATTGCGAAAAAAAAAATAGAATGTCGATGAATCACAACCACTAACGACTAATCCCAAGCAAACAACAATAATTTGAATAGGTGCCTTCGTCTTATTGGAAGTACATAATTATCATAAAATAACATTTATTTATTTACCTATTGAGAAAAAAAGTTATTATTAGTATTATTTTTTTATACAGGAATGGAAATACTAATAAAAGTATTTAATACAGCGTGGAAAAAAAGAACAGATACCGGAAGATTGGAAAACAGCTCTAATAGTTCCAATATACAAAAAGGGAGACAGGCATGATTGTAATAACTATAGAGGGATAAATCTACTTAGTACAGCAATGAAAATATATGAGAGAATTATAGACAGAAAAATAAGGCATAGAATAGAGAATACCCTCGAAAAGTCACAAAGTGGGTTTAGAAAAGGCCGAAGCATACAGGATCACATCTTCACAGTAAAACAAATTAACAAATAAATGAAAAGTTCTCACAGCAAGGAAAAGTAGTATATATGGGATTCATAGACCTGAAAAGGCTTTCGATAAAGTTCGAAGAGAGAAATTATGGAAAATATTGGAAGAGAGGGGAGTTAATACTAAAATAATAAAAATAATTAAAAACATATACGAGAAAAACATAAACTGTATAATATATAGAAATAAAATATCAGAAGCGTTTTCAACGCAAGAAGGATTAAGGCAACGAGGAGGACTAAGCCCATTATTATTTACGATCTTTATTTACGCAATAATCAAAAAATCTTCAAGCAGAATGACAAAACTACACGTGGGACACTGGAATCTGAAAAGAGTAGATGTATCAGAGGGAGCTTTTGCAGATGATGTAATAATTATGGCAGAAAAAGAAAAAGACTTACAAAAAAATATAGAAATTTGGAATGCGGTTTGTGAAGAATTCGGAATGAGAGTAAATAATCACAAAAAAAGTTATGGCTATAGGAGAGAAACAAATGGATATAAATGTACAAATAGATGGAATAAAAATCGAACAAGTAAAAACATTTAAGTATCTGGGAGTAGAAATAGAAGACAATGTCAGGCAAGAAATAGAAATTAACAATAGAGTAGAAAAAACAACAAATCTTTACTACATGATGAATTCGGCGTTTATAAATAAAAAAGAAATTTCAAGGAAAACAAAGATAAATGTATTTAAAACAATATATCGAACAAATTTTAACATTTGGATGTGATTCATGGGTGTTGACAAACAGACAAAAAAATAAAATACAGGCAGTTGAAATGAAGTATCTCATACGAGTTAGAGGTGTCACAAAGATGGATAAACTGAGAAATACAGAAATAAGAAAAGACCTTGACATAGAATCAACATTCAAGTTCATTGAAAAGCGACAAATAAGCTGGTGGAAGCATCTAGAAAGGATGAACGACATTAGACCAGTCAAAAGAGTGTTGCAATCAAAGATAGAAAAAAGAAGCTAAAGAGGAAGACCAAGACAAACATGGGATGGAGTTATCGGAAGCATACTGCAAGAAAAAGGAAAGACATGGGCAGAGGCAAGAAGAATGGCAAGAGATAAAAAACAAAGGGCAAAATTTGTACACGAATAAAATTTTATTTAGTTGTATAATGTAATATAATGTAATTGTAAGTGAATTACACCCCTACACCATATATTATGGTATTCGGGGATTTTGATAATATATATATATATATATATATATATATATATATATATATATATATATATATCCCAAGTAGCACATAATATGGGGTAAACATCGTTTTTCAGTTGGGCCAATATTTATTCATTTTTGTTGATAAATCAACACAGTACCAATATTGGGGCAACGTTAGTTTTAACTATGTGGAAACAATATTTAAAAATAATCTTGTACCAATATTGTTTTCGTAGATTAATTAACTCTTCAATAATTTGAATATTGGCCCAAGACTTTTCACTACAATATCGATTTATGAAATATTGGCCAAATATTACATTTTATATTATCGAAACAATATTGTAATATAATATTAATTCAATATTGGCATTCAATTTTTTATTGATATTTAAATTCACTTCAAAAACTTTGTATACCCAATATTTATTTCCAATTTTTTCGCAATATTGATACTTTTTGAAAAACCCAATGAAGGGCCAATATTTACATACTAATTTTTACCAAGGTTAGATTTTCTGAATTGAAAATGTTGGTCCAATATAGAGTATTCAATGTGCGCACTTGGTGTGCCGACCAAAAAATAGATGGAGACTCTGTCTTCACTTTACCTGTCTTAAACCTGGTTCCAGGATGAAGCCAAAAATTGGTTGTTTTCTCTCTGCGGGACCCTGGCGGGACTTAACCATGCTGATGACTTGTGATACAGCGAAACGGGTCCACGGATGGTCCGGCAGAGAGAAAACACTTCTTAGTCGGTCCTTATAATTGGTCCGTTACCTTAATTAAATATAATATAAAGTCAAGATTTACATACGTCTTCGGGCCAATATAGGTAATTTCAATTGGCTCTATATTGCATAAAGTTCTTGATATGATATTGATTATTTCTTTTTGGGCCAACATTTGGTTACGTTATTGTACCAACATTGGTATTTGTTTTTGGGTATATATTGACATACGTTCTTGGACAAATATAGCAGAATGTCCACATCTTTTATTGGGCCAACATAGAGAATCTGACTTGGGCCAATAAATCGTAGTTATTGTCCCAATATTGGCCCAACATGGGAGTGCTACTTGGGATATATATATTTTTATTCATTTATTAGGTGAAACGGACTTGCATCTAGTATTAGGGACCAAATAATTATATTTGATATACAATCTGAAGCCAGGCTATGTCCTAACTGGTTATAAGTATACCCACACCTATTTAAATACGTACAATTTTGTTTAGTGAGTCTTACCTGTGATATATTCCTTTAGCGCCTTGTATACTTTATTCCGCTTACCAACTATCACTATTTCTTTAGGTACGCTGTTGAAAGACTGGATACTTTTTTTCATATGGGATCTTGCCCCTTCCTTTTGCGGGCTGCTGAATTTCTTAGTGCATTTTTTAATCTTATGTTGTAGTTATGAAAGTCTTTATTTGGTTTTAATATGTGGTTTACTTTAATCGATTCATTTTGGACACAATACTCTACTATATTTTCTATTACTTATTTTAATATTTGTGAATTCAACTTTATAACTGGATTGCACTTTTTTTTTCCTGTTTACTTCATTATCATGGATGCAGTCTTATTTATATCAATAATTGCTGATTTATTTGAGCACCGCCATTCATGATACAAAGTTGGGTCCAGGTTCATTGTTTCTTCCAGGTTTGTTTCATTCGCAGTAGAGTAGGCTAAAACTGTATCGTCTGCAAACATAGAGTATCCCTATTTTAAGTCTAGCAACTTTAAACTGTGCATATATAACAAGTATTGTAGTAGGCCAAGAACCGATTCCTGAGCAACCCCCACTGATATTGTCTCTAAGTCACTAACAGTAAAAGTTTACAATGAACTGTTTCCTTCCAGAGGCCTTATTCTTGACTTTCTCTCGAGAGAAAATTTGACTGTGTTCACAGTTAAACATTGCATTAACTGTTAACAATGTCAAATTTTCTACCTAGGTAAAGTCAAGAATAAAGCTCCAGATCAGTATGACTTTAGTAGCTCATTACACTTATCTCGGAAACCTAGTTTATTTAGTTTTTCTAACATCAGTTCTATATTGACTGTATCAAATGCCTTTTGAAGATCGATGAACACAGTAATAACATATATGTTCTGGTCAATTATACTTGCTATGTAGTCTAGAAGATTTGCTGTCGCTCCCAGTGTATTGCTTTTTGCTTGAAAACCGTATTGGTTGCTATCAAATCCAAATGCATAGTAGTGATGTGATGATCAAGAATATAGGCCGAATCATTATTTAGATCTTCATGATATTCCTTTTTGGATACTGGCACGACCTTAGCCAGTAGTTCTTCAGAATATCTGCCTATTCTGCCTGTGTCCAAAATATTATTTATAATTTGGACAATGCTTGGTCCCAGGCAGTCCCATAAGTAAAAGTATATTTATTTTAAAAGTATTCAAAGCATTTTTGGCAAGACACTTAGTTATGTTCTATTGCCAAATAATTACTTAAGAAATAATAGCATTATTTCAATAGATTTATTTACGTTTATACAACAGCTGTGCTGACTATATATATTCTGGTTTGAAAATAAATAATTCTTAATTGTAGCAATTTAAATAAATCAATTTTTAAACAAAACATAATTTCATGAGCTTAAACCAAGGCCCAAACAAATTATTTTGCTTTAATTAATAAATTTCTGGTTAGCTTTTTCAACACACATTTTATAATTTGAAACAATTTTGTAGTGTTAGTGCAAATAATACAGAACAAAAACACTAAAGCATAAAAATACACAGAAAAAAATTGTTAAAAAAATCCTTTTTGGTGTGTTGTGCAGGGCCGAAAATCACCATGGAATTGCCCCTACATTGTCCATCAGGCGACGCAGAAAGTTCAAAGGAGGGTAAGTGACAGCCAAATAAAAAAACGAAAAATCATCTTCATACTCTTTCTTTGTGTGAAAAAAAAAAACGACATGATCATGGTGTAAGGCCCTGCACATCATTTTTGTTTTTGAGTTTTGCTTTTTTCCTTTGCAGCTTTTCGGGCCTTAAGCCTTAGAGAATTGAACTGATGACTTAGGTAATTTTGTAATACTAACTCAAATGAACCCAATCTTAATTCAAATAATCCTTTGTTTGAAAATCTCTATCTATTTATAATCTATCTGTACTTTACTTATAGTTTGTGGTCTGTGTAACAACAAGCCATATTTGGTTCTGAGTTTAATAGCAGTAGGAAATGAGAAGTTTTGGAAAGTAACCCTAACTAGCCCAGGTTTGATAATCATTAGTTTTGGTGATGCATTTTCATTGTATGGATGTTCAACCTGCGGATAACCTTTTTTCTTTCAACTGGTTAAATTTTAATCGGAAATAACCGAGGTGAAATTTAATGGTTATCCCAGTTAACCGATTATTTACACAAGAAAAAAACAATATGACATACTATGGGTCAGTCTCATAGCAAGTCACCTCCGGTTTGGTTTTATCTTTAGGATAAACGTGTCCACTTACAATATTCACCCTTGAGTTATGCTTAACCCGGGGGTGACTCGCTATTCATTGAGGAACCGGCCCCTATCTGGAAACCATTGCTGGAAACAAATAAGAGAAAATACAAAACAAAACAAATGACAAATCTCAAATATGACTCATGACATAATTGACAATATTGACATGAGGGTTTCCATTTTTTTTATTATAATTTCGAATCTCAGATTCTTCAAGTTGTATTTTTTTTTTAAACTTAAGTCCAATTAAAAATTTACCAATAGGCTATCGCCTTGCCTGGGCGTTGAAAGCAGCGTCATGGTAAACTGTACTTATATTGTTCCATTTCCTCATAACCAAAAATTTTTTTAAAAAAATAAAAAAAACTAATATTTGCTTAAAACTTAGAGGAAACAGGAAACGATTCACATTAATTCTCAGTGGCTTTATAAAAAAAAATTACAAAGGAAATTTCAATTTTGTAACAGAAAGTTTTAGTTGTTCTGACATGGTATCAAATATTTTCTTGCGGAAATATCTAATTAAGTTTCAACTTTTTTTCCTGTAAACGTCGATTCTTATATAAGCAGCATTGGGCAGCGGCATTTGCTGTTAATTTTGCGCTTGCTTTGTCAGTGCACACATATACCAACATTGGAATGATAAATAGGCCAGTGCAGTTATGGAATTCACAATGTTGAAAATGCAATTTTTTTTATAAAGCTGCGACTATCAAAAAAAAGTAGCCCTAGTACCCCTTATTAACATACTAAAAGTCCCCATGCCTCCGACTGTTGCGTCACCAAAAAAAGTCGTCCGCCATCTTGAATTTCAGCACTGTTTGGGAAAAACCGCGAATAACTCGAAAACGGTACATTTTTTCGAAAAAAATAAACACCGAAAAATTAAAGAGAATTAAAAAATCTATCAGATACAATGAAAAGTAATTTTGTATCATAGCGGTCTATCAACTTATGAATTTTCAATTCTGGTAATTATTCGGTTTTGATAATTTAATTATTTAAGGCGCGAAAATCGCAGAACAAAACAAAATGTTATGACTTTGATTCCATGTTTTCAATTTCAGTCAACATTTATTTGCCTCTGATAGTCAAAGCTGGAGATGCATTTTTATTTACTTCATATGGTAGGCATAGGCTAGCAGATGATTTAGATCAGTTGAGATATTATAAATACAAAACCCTTACCTCTCGTCAAGTTCTTAGCAAGAATTTTGAGTTGCCTCCAACTTCAGGCGGTGCTGAGAATCATTACTATAGGACTTACTTACAAATTCAATATTGGCTTAATAATAAAAAAGAACCAACACGTTAGGGTTGGGATGAAAAAACTATGTCAAAGGCAGTGGCACCTGATTTTGTTCTGAATATGATATGTATATCGCAACTGCAAATCAGGCTGTAACAAATTATGCACATGTATAAAGTCGAATATTCCGTGTTCAATCCTATGTGGTAATTATTGTAATGGCATTTCTTGTAACAACAAACAAATTTCCGTAGATGAAGAGCAATTCGAATAAGATGGAATAAATTGTATCCCAGTTTTAGATTGTATTCACTGTTGAATGGTAACAGAAAGGCCTTGGTTCACTCTCATGATGTTATTTCGTATTAGAAAGTTAATTATCAATAGTAATATAATGAGTGCAATGGAAATTATCGATAATTTTTGGGAAATTTGCCCGAATGCATTTTTAGTTGAAAAGAGCACGAGTGCAGGTAGTGCACGAGTGCCCTTTTCAGTTAAAAACGCATGAGTGCGAATTTGTCAAAAATTAAAAATATATTTCCATTGAACGAGCTGAATTTTATGAGAGAATTTCATAAATCAAGAATTTAGATTTTTTGTCAAAAAATGTCAAAGCACCAGCTCTCTCACTAGTTACTATGCAATTATCGCATAATTCCAATCTGATTGGTTTAAATCAACAATCAAATCATGTCAGTTTATTGTTGGTATATCAGCTTTGACAGATGTATGAAATTCTCACATGTTCTGTGATTCTCACTTATAATTACACGAGAGCTTTTTTTTTGTCAAAGTAAACTTGATATGATATTAATGAGAATTTTGTTGCCTGGCAATCTAACAAAAAAAAACTGCCTGTGAAAAAATTACGAGTCCGTAGGACAAGTAATTTTTTCTGGCAGTTTTTTGAGTTAAATTGCCTAAAGACAACAAAACTCGATGAATTATAAATGTAAAGTTTCCTTTTCGACAAAAAAAAGCTTACGTGTAATTCGGTAAGACAACAAAAACACCAGTCCTTATGGAATTTTTTGTGTATGAATTAAGGCTGATGTGGTCCGAATATAACGAAGGTTGTGGTTTCGCGGTCCAAAAGTAATCAAATTACTCTGGTACCTGGAAAAGTGGTTACTTTTGGACCTTGGTTTCCTGAAATCTGGTTAACCAAATGTCAAAATAGTTACCGGCTATCGGATGTTGGTTCTGTTGGTTTTATCTGTAAATTCTGTCAATTATTTTTCATTTCATATTCGCGTTCCCCATGTAACCAAAATTTTCAGTAACCATATATCTGTCAACCGATTCGGTTACTTTTGGTTAATGTTTGGTTATATTCGGACCATAGCCTTAATTGTCAATTTAAATTTGCTTATTACCTATCATGTCTTTTGGCCAAAACATTGTAAAATTGATCTTGTCAATTTTTTTGTGTTGAATAGTATTATTGTATTGAATCTGCGATTACTCATTATTAGTTCATACGAGGTAGTTCAATTAAATTAATATAGGTAACACTTTTACAGTGTTTTTTTATTTAAATAAATGTTAAAAGGTAATTTTATTTGTTTATTGGGATTGAAAAAATGCATTAACTGCATTATGGTCTGGTTCTCTTGATTTTGCTAAATTTCCAAAAATTCAAAAAATTCTAGATTGTTACTACGTTATGGTACGCATTCAGTTTTTATGATACCTCCTTCATTTCTTCATTCTATTCAATTTTCCTCTCTTCAGTTTTTTCGATAGAATGTAACGAGGGGTTGACCACTCGCCGCAATACATGTACGTTCAGTCCGCATTGCGATCACATTTTTCGCATTATATGGCATTTTCCCTACATTTTCCACATTTGGCCACATTTTCACGCATTTTGCCACATTTTCACGCATTTTGCCACATTTTGAGGCATTTTTGCTGCATTAATGTCGCATTATCAATAATTTTGTGAAGACATTATTTTAATTAATGCGAAAATGTGAAGTAGAGGGGAGAGGACTTGATATTCTTCTGATTCTGATAAGGCGGACATCGAGCCGACATATTCATATTCAATGAACTATAAACTACACGTACCTGGAATGGCACCGACCGTTGTCGTATATGGCATTTGTATGGCATTTGTCATCTCTCTTAGTGCGTCCAAAGAAAGCTAAAGCCTGTTTTTTTTTAGAGATAAAAGTCAAAATGACATTATGTTGGCAATATAATGTAAAATTGTCAATGCTTTCAAATTCTTTATGTAGAAAAGGCTTGTGTTGCCAACATAGTTACTAAATTTTTGACTTGGGGAATTATCTTTAAAAAAAAAAAAGACTTTATATAGTGGGGGATCCCTTTCTCTCTCTATTTCATTGCTGTTAGGTTTGGTGTATATTCCTAACCTCAAATTTAATATTTTTTAGACAAGGAAAGATTTTCATAAGTGACCCATAAGGTAAATAGAGATAGGAATCCTCTACATTCTCCATCTCAATTTGCCGCATTTTAGAGATAGGCCGGGCCATTCCAGGTACGTGTAGTTTATAGTTCATTGTTCATATTACACGCACTCACGCAGTTTGACGTCGTTTGTAGATGTAAAGTGCGACAAGTGAGTGAACCTGTGTGGAAGGAATGCGGGCAGAACGCTTCTGATTGACGCGAGATTAAATATACATATACGCGTGTCATCGCGTCAGGGTAACTGCAATTTTCGCAATGCACCACGTCGGGGACCCGTCGCGTCGTATAGTATAGGTTTTCGTCTTCCCCTCTGCTACTTCATACGTTACCAAGGTTCACTCAGTTGTCGCATTTTACTGATTTTGTGTTCCGAGTTTTGTTTCATCAGGTTTGCCTGATTGAGGTAAGTACCCAGTGACGCTTTAACCTTTCTCAATTATTTGGTATGGCCTTTCATGAGTGATTGTTCTTTTTTATAGGAATAAAATCATTCAGACGATTTCAAACTACTAACCTGGCAGAATATGAAGAGAAAAAATGTTGCCAAGTAGTATTCGGTAAAATCAAAGAAAGGTACTACAAAATGATGAAACAAGAATGGTCACAAAACATGCTATATGTTCGAAATGTCCTAAAAGAAAATGATGGCATTGAGCTCGAAAGAACAGCTGCATGGCTTGAGATCAAATCCATTAGCGAGGAAAAGATGCATAAAGGGTTGCAACTCTGAGGAAAATTCGTACCACGTTGCCTGTGCATGTCCTACAAGCTCAACAACAAGGCACGACTCCGTGGTACACTGGACCCTTAAGACACTGCTCAAGTCCCTGGATGCTCTAGAAGAAGCATTAACAGGTTCCTGCTCTAATCGTTGCCAGTTGCCACGTGCCCGTGCTGCGCTAATGACGCAACGGCGATTCAGCGCAGCTCGGTGACTCTAGGGCGTGTTCCGGATTGATGCTCGATGGAGCGAGCGGAGCGATTCCAGAGCATCGTGACGTCAGGCAGTGCACTCTGGCCAAACCAAATGTGCTTGTGCAGTGTGAATTATAAGAATTAAAGAGTATTGAAATATATGCTAGTCCTGCTATTAAATAAGTCGACTTAAGAAATTAGCTAAAAATTAAAATTTTTCATTGAAAATGTGTCATTTTATTTTATGGATTATTCTAGATGATGCGTCAAAGTCGTTAGAAGTCATATCAATACCTTTATCAACGGAACAATTTGAGGATGATAAATCCGAAAAATTAAATTCCTTTGAGACATCTAAGGAGACGACATCTAATGAAATGAATCTGGAAATGAACAAAGAAGATGAATCAGAAATAATTGAAGATCTAGAAAGTTATGGGAAATTATTCGAAAATATTGAAACCACCGACAAAACGGATGCCACTGACACTCAAAGCATTAATCAGCACGATGGAGTTTTGAAATTACAAATTAAGAGTAAACTAAAAATAGTAAAAAAATCCACATTATGTTGGGTTTTTGGTCAAAAAAATAGGAAGGTATCCACTATCCACAGACAGAATTTTTAGATTTAGAGGTAAACCTGGCAACAAGGTAGGTAAGCGAAAGAGTATTGAGAAAAAAAAAACAAAAAGCAAAAAAAAAACTAAAACCAAGTATAATGAAAGCTAGTCTAATAGTGAAACTTCTGAAGAGAGTGAAACTGTCATTTACAAAGAGAGCTCTGACGAAATAGATCAAAAGGAAGTGAGTGACAGGGTAGAACTCTGTATAAAAATGGAAAATTATTATGCTGTGTACTATGATACCTTATGGTATATTGGCAGAGTATTAGGTGTAGATGAATCACAAAAAATATTCACCATTAAATTTTTAAAATATTATTTGAATGGCTACATATGGCCTCGTAAAGAGGACATTCAAAGAGTTCAACGTGATTTTATTTTCTATGGGCCTATTAATATGACTGGAAATGGGCCATTTTATATTAAATACATAGAAAAAATTATGATAGATCGCTTGTATAATAGTTATTTATACAACAAGCTTGACAACAAGTGAGTTAAATGAATGTTTATTCATGAGAAGAAAGTTCAACCCACGAGCCCCTATGCGTTCAATAATGTAATTTTTAAACGTCAAAATGGGATAATAGTAGATTATACCACGAGTCAATAATTATAGCTATTATTCCCGAGGATTATTACGAACTGAGCCGCGTTAGCGGCGAGGGAGTAACATTCCGAGGGAATAATAGCCATTATTGCGAGTAGTATACTCTACTTTATTTACGACAAAATAATTTATTTGAGATTTTCAATGAACAAATTTCATCCGTCTCATAATTTTCAATACAAATCCACAAGCACTACACGTTTGACACTGACACTTTTGTGGAATAATGACCCTTAATCCCGCTACTCGTCATTAATCCCTGGAGGAATAACATATGTCATTATACTGCCAAAATCACAAATATAATACGCACATTATACATTAGTCGTAAATAAAAATATTAAAAAGATGTAATCCTGGGAAGTAACAACAAATAAAGTGCAGTAAAATAACTTGTAGGCAGTTTTTTTTTTCCAAATGGTCACACAAAAGTCAATAACTAGGTTTTTTATTAGTAATATTATTATTTTAATATTAAATTCCGAAGTGATCAATGTGAACATTTCTCCGCATTATGCCAGATAATGTCGCATTACCTTCACATTACATCTAATTGCATCATATGTTTTAACATTTTTATCATTTTTCCGCATTACCTTAAAATGCGAGATAATGCGGCAATACATGTACATATTTTCCAGAGTGGTCAACCCCTCGGAATGTACCGTTTTTGACTTATTCACGATTTTATCCGAAAAGTGCCGAAATTCAAGATGGCGGATTGTTTTTTCTAATGACGCAACAACCGGACGAATGGGGACTTTTGGTATGTTTACTAGGAGTACTAACGCTAACTATTTTCGATAGTTGCAGCTTTATAAAAATTTTTGCAAATTCAAAATTATTTGCACTGGCCTAAAAGGAGAGGATTAGCAAGGCAAATGGAAATAATAGTATATGCAAATTTTCTTGCTAACAAGGTAAACAAGTGCAAATATTACACCAAAATCAATAGGAAATTGGGATACGAATCCAGTAAAGGATAAATAACTCTAGGAAGAATCCCTATATGTCTACATGTCATTGTGACTACTCATGTTTATGCTACAAATCCCTGGCTGTTGATACGGGTGGGTGGTGTTACATTATTGCTAAAGACAGTCTTTCACTAAGCAAAAACTATAGTTATAATGATTTTTTTTGCGATTGACAAGAAATGTCAGCATTTTTGATCGGTTGACAGGTCGCAAAACTCAATATTCTGGTATTTTAATTATGTTTCAATAGTTGCTAAACAAATCGATGAATAACAATATGAGAATCACTTTTCCGGCCTAGGCCGAGAAAGTGATTCTTGTACTGCTGAACAACTTCTCGGAAGCAGTATGCATGTGGTGGAGTGTTGATTATGATGCAGAATGATTTTCTCAGAAGGTTTGAGTTTACTTCAATTGAGAGATTTGATCATCTTTTAGAGGTGAGAGTTTTTGAAGTTCCTGTTGTGTATTGTAGTTGTTTTAATTTGTATGTGTTGGGGATTTATAGATCTCCTTCTCGGAATATTCAATCATTCATTGATAAACTGGAATCTCTTTTGACTGAAATTTCACTTAACGCTATCATAGTTTTGTCTGGTGATTTAAATATAATTTTTTTTGACAGGGACAATAGATATAATCAGTTGCTGTGTAACTTGTTGGATTCTTTTAACTTATGTATGCATGTCGATCAGCCAACCAGACGTACAGCGTTGTCATCATCTGTCCTGGATTATATACAGGGTGTCCCACGGTGGATGGCTTATTAGACGTTTATGGAGAACTAAAAAGCGGATCATTTTGAAAATTTGGCAACCGGGATAAACGACCATGATCTACACTTTAAAAATATTTTTGACCATGCGGTGTTGCCGCTTCTACTCTAAACTAGTGGCAACATCAATATTTTAAATGGAACACCCGAACACCCCGTATTAAATTGCATATTTGGATTCTACATAAAATTCTGAGCAGAGTTCATGTGATATACCCTATACCTAAGTTCAACTGTTTTAGAAATATTGACAGTTGAAAATTGACTTTTTGCAACATTGACAGGCTGTAGAACCTGAACGGTTAATTTTAGAGGAAAACCGATTTTACATCTCCAACCGCTGAAATCACAGTCTTCTGTTCGTTCATTCGTCAGTGAACCGTACCCTATACTTTGAGTGGTTGCAATTCGCTCTAGGAGATAATTGTCTTTTATTTTGGAAAACTGTTACACATGTTAATACTGTCCCTAATAATCCAGTGTGACGTCACAAACACCTAGTTGTAACTTTGAACCGCCCTAACTCGAAAACGGACCATCGTAGCAAGATGCGGTTTAATTATTAATTTTTAGATTATTTTGCACTAAAAACTTTCATTTTTGGGTCACACCCCCTTCAAGAATAAAGCCAACATTACAAATCGAGGGGAAATCTCAGTTGCTCAACTAAGAACCGAAGGTGGCATATCATCATTTAAGCACGGATGCTATTTCTAGTACAATTGTACTAGATCTAGGACAATCACGTTTTACCTAGTACGCTAGTACCTCTCTCATAAATCTAGTACAATTTGTATTAGATTTCGTGCTACTGGTATCGGGTCGAGTGTCGCTCTTCGCTCTGTATAATACCGTACTCGAGTTCTAAGCTTTACTCTTTACTGGTGGGTTGGGTGTTGCGTTCCACATTCCAGGGAGATCACGATAAGTAGAATTCTATACTAGGATTTGGCGTTTCGAATATAAGGCAATTTTTCGCGAGGATAATCAAGCCTAATCTGATTATGCTGGGTTATGTGATGTGTCAATTGTGTCATACTTCCCTAACTCCCTCTCCATCAAATTCTGGGCCTGCGAGTGGCGTCACTCAGCAGCTTATAGTGATGACGTCAGCCGCAGACATCTATGAAATGCTTGCGATTCAGGCTGTGCTAGTACTTAATTTTTTCGTCGATTTTAAATGTAGAAAAGGTGATTTTCCGTCTGCCCTCACAGAAGTTCTTGATCCTGGGGTATCCCAGAATTTGATGGTGGGGGAGTTAGGGGAGTATGACTCTCGGACGTATGACACAATTGACACATCACATAATCCAGTATAAGCACTGATCTCAAAAATAAATGGATAAACAATCCTTTAGCTAAACTTGTACGAAAATTTGGGGTCAATACTCTACGAACAGTTATGCAACGAAACAGCCTAACGCCTGCGCAGTGTGTTATTTTTAGAACAACTGTTCTAAATTTTGGAATATCCTTCATTTTCATTGACAATATTTTGCGCACGCACAGTACAATGTATCTACTGCGCACGCTCACAGCTGTCCCAGTTGTTTACATTAGGACCTCGTAAATAAGCAGCATTAGAAGCGTTTTTTGTTTATCCATTTATTTTTAAGATAAGTGAGTATAAGATTATGCTTTGATTATCCTCGCGAAAAATTGCCTATAGTTTCGAACGCACACGCACTTTTTTATTTTGTGACTTGACATGTGTCATGTATCGGGGGTTATTCGATTATTCAGCCGATCACGGTAATCGGTAGTCGATTTATAACTAACTATGTAAAAATTTATTTATTTCTATCATTCAAACAAGTGATATTTACCCCAATTAACAAAGCCTACATTTGTATTGAAATTTCAAAATTTGACGCTTAGTTAGTACACAATGTCGCCAATCTAGTACAATTATTCCCTACTTTCTGGTACAATTTTTTTAGTGCTGATAGCATCCCTGCATTTAAGGTAGGAATAAACACTAAATATGTACCACAGGTAGAAGCTAACAATTTTTGGCCTGAAAATATCATTGTCCGAGAATTTAAATTTAATCTATTATGGGTCAGTTCCATGCCAGACATGCACGTGCAGGATCATACAGTGGCAATCGGGGTAGTTCAAATTTCCATTCAAATTTTCACTGGAACCAAGGAAGGAGAACCAGGTACTTAACAGTTCTAATATAAGTGTTTACTATCAGAACGTGAATGGTCTTAGAACTAAACTATCTGAGCTGCGTAAAAATGTTGCACTCAATCGATATGATGTGATTTTGCTCACTGAAACATCATTAAATTCGGATTTTATTAGCAGTGAATTGGGCATGGACAAATTAATTTATGTGGTAATAAGCTTTCGCAGATAATGTCTCCTTTCGTCAGTCTGCGAAATCTTTTATAACATGTCTGCCTCCTCAAGCATAAGGGGGAGATGGTTAAACATTTTTTTCCCTCCGTAATTATACTTATAGAGCTCTGAACCAGTTCCGAATGTGGGACAGGCAATCTGAGAGTGTGAGTCTGACTCATATTGTAATAACCGCCCGCAGACATCTCATGTCCATGGCTTTTTAAAAACGAGACAGACTGATTCCAAAATAAATAAACAACAAAGAGTCATGATATCAAGTCTCACAAACAATAGTCGACAGGAATCACGAACCCCTGCACCACACATGCCCTTTTCTGCAAAATAAATACAGAGTCAAAATGGTATTGAGCACAACATCCCCAGAAACAAATACCATATCGAAGGTGGGATTCGATCAGTGCAAAGTAAGAGTTTCTGGCAATGGATGGATCCAAAAAAGATTTTATTGTAGATATTAAATACATGGCCCTGAAACTTCAAAGTATTATCTATTGTTAATCCCAGGAACTTGCTTGCGTTAAGAGTCGTGATTGGTTCCCTCCATAATAACATATCCAGAAACCTTATACAAGTCGCCGAGTTAGGTTGAGAGTCGAGAGGAATACTTTCTAGCGCTACTGTCACTATATATTAGATTAGAACATTTGTTTTTTGTTGATCTCTACAGTTAAACAATATGTCAGTGGTTGAATGAATTGCAGTTTTAATTTGTATTGTTCAGCGATGAGTGCGATGTGGGCACATTCAAACGCTTTTTCGCATTAGAAATTCTACTCGTTTGACACATGAGGTGATCTGGATCCACAGTAACCCCTGCAAATTCTCCAATAAGCCTTTCTTTGAGCTGTGATACTTCTTTTAGATAGAGATAATCACCTAAACCCTGAGAAAACCTGGGTGGGAAGTTTTTACTTAGACAATCTCAAATAATCGCTAGGACAAAATATTGACTATTTCATGTAGTAGTTTTAAATTTTGATAGAAAAGAAAACCAGATTTTTGGTAACAGTTGTTATAACTAGGTTTGATTCATAGATGTTGACACAATCTTCATATAACCCACCACTAATTTTATCAGTAAGCATAATTGTAAATTTTCAAATAACATTTTGTGTTATTAACAAATGACTAACTCAGGAATTAAATTACCTAATTTTTGTTTTATTTTTATATAAGATTTGCTTGAAAATAATTAGCCAACAGTATTTTATTTATGAATGTTTTATTTATTGCTTGATTTTTGACTCTAGCACTGCTTATTGTTCACTCACTTTAATTTAAAACTGTACTAATTACTACTAAAATATTGCACTAAGAATGGTTGTTTTTATTTCAGATTGTGTCGCAAGAGGTAAGTGTGCTCTGTAAATGTAACTCATTTTATCTTTCACCTGTATATAGGTATTCATGTGCTGATTTGTGAAAGTGTTTTTGAGTATAATTTGGCTTGCTTTGTTTCAAATTATATTGCTATTGGTGTGAAAGTGAATGAATCATTAAAAGATAATATTTTTATCAATCGCTCAAATTTTATGATTTTATCACATGTTTGTTTTCGATTCCTCTCTCCTCCAAATTGGGGTCAATTGCTTGCTTGCTAAAACTATAAACTTCAATTTAATTCACTCATTATACATACTCTTACCTAAGGTTGATTAATAGTTAATACCTCTGCCAATAAATGTTTTCAAATAAAATGCCTACTTTTATATATTTTGTCCATTGAAAAATAAATTCAAAGGAAATCTTACCCAATCATCATTATAGACCGCAGTATAATTTTGTCGGTAATTACAACTAAAACTTGTACCTATTTATTTTTGTTAAGTAGTTATGATAGCCCTAATTAAGTTTTTTCAATACAGTTTACAGTCCACGTTTTCCATTACACAAATAGGAGTATGTTCAACGAATTTATTGGAAAATTGTTAACAAGGCCAAATATATTATTTAAACAAATTTCTATCCTTCAATTATTGTATAAGAAATTCCTCTATTTTTTTAACTTGCTTTTCATGCTCTCGCTTTCTTTTGTTCTGCCATGTCAAATACCCCCTAGCTCAAAAATAAATCATGTATTCCCACCATTTAATAGTTAAATTATTTTAACTTTCAAGATTTCTCTACAGTTTTTTCTTTTTTTTTTATTCCAGAAACCAAGCAGAAATGGCGCACACATGTAGAGGCAGTATTTCACTTCACGGGGCCTTGATCTACACTGTGGATCCATGCACATTTGTAATCTCCAATGGAGGCACACAAACTTTCCACATTAAAGCCTCTTCTGAGGTGGAAAGACAATCTTGGGTTACTGCCTTGGAACTGGCGAAAGCTAAAGCTATGTGAGTAGTACCCTCATAGCAAGCAGGTTATAATATTAATGCCAATCATTTGCAGTAGAAATATGGAATCGGAAGAAGATGACGTAGATGCTGAAGAATCTGGCATGTCTGAGGAACCTGATGTGATGAGAAAATTAGAGGGTGCTCTTAATGAACTTCAGATTTGTGGAGAACTTTTAGGCAAGCACTGGAAAAATTTGGCCAAGCCTTTGAGTGAAATCGAATCCACTCCCGATCCTGATTTACTTAATAGCAAAGCTAAAGAGGTTTGCGAACGGGCTACATTGTTTCGGATTTCCAGTAATGCCATGATAAATGTAAGAATTTTTTGCATTTTAAACGCAAATTTTTCATTATTTAATTTTTCAGTCGTGTGCTGAGTATTTGAAAACCGCTCAGACTCACGGGCACAAACTTGTGAAGCTTCTTCAGCACGAAAGAGAACAGAGACAAAGGTTACAAGAAATGGTAGAGACTCTGGCTGAGCAACATTCGAAATTAGAGCGAGCTGCAAATGCTCATGCACATAGAGCAGGTAAGTCAAGAATATTAGGATTTGAGAGTCTCGTTTCAAAATGTCTTTCTACTCAAAATTGATCGAAATTTTGAATAATATACAAATTGGTAATTCAAATTATTGATTTCACTCTATGGATGTCAGTTTGGACCTGAGGTAGCTATGTTTCCTAATACATGTAAATCTAATTTTACGAATAATGTTTGATTTTTATGTCTAAATCACGGAAATCAACTTGGCCGACAAAAATAATGGCAAATTGGGGGAGTCCGACACCCCCAAAATGTCGATCTGACGAGGTTATGTTTCCTGATACATATATGTCGGACAAAAGTAAGTCTTTGTCAAATAATGTTTTCTGAATGCTAAATTATGAATGGGAAAAAGGAAGCACCTTATATATTATATAATGATCACATTATATTGCATGCTGATGCTTATTTGAATGACAATTTTTGAAGTTTCAGAATATGATGAACACAAATTCAAATTCTGCTAACTAGAGAGAGTGACCCCAATACGTTCGGAATAGCACACCCAGAGTGCACTCCAAATGATGATGTCAGAACACTCTGACAAACAACTACTCTACCTTCACACTCCATTTCTAAACGAACTCCAGGGCCGAGTTCAGAAATAACGCACAGGGTGCAAGTGAGATTTTATGGGCGTGCCTGAATAGGCTCGTACAGCATATTTTTTTTATTACATATTCTAAAGGAGCGTATTGAGTTTAGCAGTTGTGCAAAATTTCATAATTTTCCGAGCCCTTGTTCATATTTAAATAAATTATCAAAAAGCTCCAAATTTAGAAGTTTTGAAACACGTGGTGACGTCACTGCATCTCTCACGTTGGTCGTGTGACGGCCTTTAGCCCGTCTTGACTCGAGAGATGACGTCATACCATCTCTAAGCAATGAATTTCTGAGGCATAATGTTTTATTATTCAAAGCCGCATAACTTTTTTAATATTTATCCAATTGCGCTGAAATTTTTTGTGTGTGCTATATGTGAGTAATACTCCATAAAAATATCAGAAAACGTGGTTAATGAAACCTCACATTGGAAGCATAGCACCGTCTAGCATTTTTGAACAGCTAGCACCGATGTCACACTCACACTGGGTGTGTTATTCCTGAACTCGCCCTAGTTGTTTCGTTGAAACGCACCACTGGTCTGAACGTACCCTACTTTAAGCGACGTGTTTTTGATGTACCCCATAAAATTGCAGGTGCTTGAGAGGACAGGGGAGAGGAAAAACGAACAGTTCAGTTGCGCGAAGCTCTAATGCACTGGAACGCCTATAAACAGCCCGGAGCGCTCTAGAGCAGCTCAGGAATGCTTAAAGTGCGTCACTGGAAAGCGACTCGTGTCATTGCCGTAGATATTGGGTCTGTTTCTGCAGAAATCACAAACCAGTCAGAGTGAATTTCATTGGTTGAAACTAGTTTTCTGACTGTTTTCAACCAATGAAACTCGCTTTGATTGGTTTGTGATTTCTGCAGAAACATACCTGCTGGTGAGCTCGTTTTACAATAGGAAAAATCGAGTTGACGACTTAAGCCTAGTACTCATAACTGCGAAATTCGCTCTTTTTTGTCATTGCTTCGACAATTTGACGTTTAATTCACGCATAAAACGTCAAATTGTCGAAGGAACGTCGAAAAAAGAGCGAATTTCGCGGAAGTGAGAATGAGGCATTATCCGGAGGCTGGAGCGCGTAAGGAGCAAGGATGATAGACACTACTACTACAAGATGGCCTATTCCATAAGGCCAGTGTGTAACAAATTCCCCTTTCCCTTCTCGCCAAAATACCAGTTGCCTCGACGTAGGCTGTTTAAACAACTGACAACTTAGTAGTCATGTCTTGAAACTTAATGTCATCATTTTTGATTTGAAAGTGTTAATACAAAAGGAGTCAAGACTTATATCTGACTTGAAATCGCCTAAAAATAGAGCCTCCCTCAATTGACCTTTTGTTTCGACGCCATATTGCGGTGCGCGAACATAGTTGCCAAAACAAGAAAACCAAAAATTACTAGCGGGCTGTCAACTAGATATTTTATTATTTCTATTCTGCCCAATACAAGCTAAAATTGATGGCTTTTCTTTCTAAAAACTTTCGTAATAGGCGGCAAATTTAAATTTTAAATGTAATTTATTCACTAAGTTTGGATTTTAAAGTTGACAGAACGCTAGTATTTTTTTATTCTACTGTTGGCAACTATGTTCGCGCACCGCAATATGGCGTCCAAACAAAAGGTCAATTGACCTTTTGTTTGGACGCCATATTGCGGTGCGCGAACATAGTTCCCAAAAGAAGAAAACAAAAAATTACTAGCGGACTGTCAACATTAAAAACAAAAGTAACTAAATGATTGATCCTCGCTATCCTTTTTTTTTTGTTTACTTTATAGTCTGAGGTTTACTTTCTGTCTCTGATTGATGAAAGTAAATAGGTAGAGGTAGATATTCTATTATTTCTATTCTGCCCAATACAAGCTAAAATTGATGGCTTTTCTTTTCAAAAACATACGTAATAGGCGGCAAATTTAAATTTAAAATGTAATTTATTCAGTAACGCTTGTTTTTAATGTTGACAGTATCCTAGTAATTTTTTTTCTTCTACTTTTGGCAACTATGTTCGCGCACCGCAATATGGCGTCCAAACAAAAGGTCAATTCAACATTTTGTATTTGCCAGTAATTGCCAGTAAATGTGGAATTCCGTGTCACTAATTTTGCAAAGAGCAGTTGGCAACACTGGTAAATTCAAATAGAATGGGAATGAAGTAGCTTAGGTATAAATTATCAGGTAAAGAATTTTTTTTTAATAATTTTTAAACTTTTCAATATTTTTCATAAGTTTATTTTATTGTAATCGGTAATCAATGTACTATAGACTACTTTCTATAGTACATTGATTACCGATTACAATAAAATGTATCTTTGCTGTTGATATTTTTTCGATTATGTATTATTTTTTGCAAATTTTTGCCATTTTTTTGTCGGACACACATTTATTTACAATACGTAGAGCTAATTTAAGATCGAAAAAATGTTTAATGAGACTTATATGTATCAGGAAACATAACCTCGATCGACATTTTGGGGGTATCGGGTATCGGACTCCCCCAATTTGCCATTATTTTTGTTGGCCAAGTTGTTTCCTTGATTTAGACATAAAAATCAAATATTATTCGTAAAATTAGATTTACATGTATCAGGAAACATAGCTACGTCAGATCGACATGTTTGCGAGTCGCCTGCGCGCATACGTGCCATTTCCGAGAAAAGTTTTAGAAAAAAAAGTTGTCGGACTTGATGTAAGCAAGCCACTCACAAAGTATGGGGTTTACATGTATAACTGAAAAAAAAGGTCCTTGGATGGTTGATAACTACAATACCTACGTAATCTAAGCATAAACTCTTGAACAAGGGATTATTTTAGGTATATTTGCCACAAAAAAAAAATGATCTACGAACTCAAATGAGTTTTCTACAGGCACTTCAAAGCTGGAAAAACTGCTGACAGTGGCTGGCAAGACTCTCAAAATGCAAATTGTGACGTAGGGAGGTTAAATTCCGTGTTTTTGTGTAGAGAGTTTTCTATTTCTTTTTCATTTATTTTCTCAAGGAGGACTATGAATTCTTCAAAAGTGAGAATGCAGAAAATTCAATTTTTGGTTGCTTTATCCAATTATGCCAATTTCAAAAATTAGTGAGATAGCCCCAATCAAATGTTGCTGAACATGAAGGAGAATCCCGAAAATAGGAAGAAATAGTAAAATCACAGGGAAATTATAACTTTGAGGGCCAGTTTCACAAAACAGTGGTAACCCAACGGTAACCACAAGACACTCGTAACCTACAATATATCTGTTTCATAATGTGTGGTTTAGCCAAAACCATTGGTCAAACTTCACATTATTCAATATGGTCAACCAGCAACTATGAGTTTGATAACCAGTGCAGGTTACCACTAATTGTGAAACTGGGCCTTAGTGATTCTGAGATATAACCGAATGAAACTATACCCTCTTATAGAGGACACGCCGGCCTGGGCCTTGGGTCATAAGAAATGGGAATTTACAACTTTTTTCAATAGGATCGAACTGGACTGAGCGTGAATTGGAAAAACTACATTTCTATTAAAGTACATTTTTATTAATTTATGTATACAAACTATCATTTTGATTTTTTGCATACTTATGCTTTTGTGTGAGCGTATTCAATGATGGTGTTGGGAATTCTATAAATGTTTAAAGTTTTCGAAAAAAATAAATAAACAATATAGAATTATCAAAATAGTGCATCCAGAAATTCACCCTGCGGCGAGCTATGTGAATTATTGAAAATTTCTACACACATATCGAGTCAAATGTATTCTGAACATTGTTTCAGTTTTCAAGAAGTCGCTAGCTTAAATAGTTATAGAAATATGAATTTCTATCGAAGAGCCTTGGAATGAAACCGCTCTTCAATAATTACGGCCAAGTCTATTTCAAGGTACAGTGATTATTGTTCATGACGTCAGTACTGATGATATAAATTGTGATGGTTGGTGTGTTGAGGCTCCCAGATTAAGATTTTTGGCAAAGCCGATAATGTTCCTGGGAATGGCTTCTTCCACGTCAGCTGCCGTTAAATAGGGCTGCTACAGATGGATAAGTCTTCTGCGGCACAATGCCTCGCAGTGGCAAAGCATGTGTTCCGCAGACTCAGGCTTCTTTACAGAAGCGGCGTAGGTATGATTCTGTTTTGCCCATTTTGGTGGTAACCCAGGGGGCAGTGAGCCGTGAGGAGGCCTCAGATCCGGTTTACTAAGGGCAATCATTTCCTTTGCCTTTATTGACTAGGGCGAGATGAATTGTTCCTGGATACTGGTTCCAGCGGGAGGCTTGTTGCGCCTTTACGCAACTCTGGACTTCCCGTATTATATGACTTTTTGTAATGCCAAAGAAAGGTTCTGGTCCAAGGATTGGTGTTGCAGTTCCTTGTCATGCATACCTTTGTAC